AACGTGTCACTTCAATTGCCATTCTGTTGCGGCCTTTGGCCAATAGAGGGCAGCATAGGCCAGCTAATTGTGCCATTTCTTTGTCTGCCCGGTCACTAGTCATTGTCCCTCTGTATTACATGTTTGTTCATACCTGTTTATCTTTATGTTACAGATACCACACCCGTTCACACACCCATCCAAACCATTGCATGTAAAATGTACTACCCTGGAAATCAATAAAGTAGTTAAACTGGAACAGCCTGTGGAAACCCATTCTTCCTTGCACGTCCGTCGCCAACACCTTCTGACAGAGGACAGGAAAATCTAGCTGCAGCACGACCCGTATACTTTTGCACGCCGTGTTCCCAACACTCGGTGTGCATTTAGAGAAATTAGATGTCCTTCAAAATGGCGCGCTGAAATTCATTTCCGGGTCACTACCGGAGGACCGAGGAGTCGAGGAGGGGAAATTTGAGTATTGAGAAGCCTCTTATGAGGAGGGATGCTAGTACTTACGTGTGTACGATGTCTCAACGACTAACAAAGTCAGGCTTTCAAAAAGAAAAGAAAGGAGAGAAAGAAAAGAGAGAGGGACTAAAGGGCGACAGTATGGCCCATTCCCAAACCTACCCCTACACCCTACCCCTCCGTTTGCGCGTTCACGCGGAGGGTCCGCCATATTGAGGGCTGTTCCAGTGCCGTCCACGAGTGTGGAGCGGTGTGGGCTATCAAGCCTTCAAAGAGAAGAGTCTGCATCGGTGCTGACTTGAGACCGGTCTCTACCTGACCGGAGTCAACGTTGTGTGTGTCCGTCAGGAAACAAGCTGTTAACAAGTAGTTCCAGCAAACATCCACTGATAAACTGCGATGTTAACAACCTCATGATAACCTCATATGTTTTAACTTAGGGGCGGACTGGCCATCAGTAGAATCTGGAGAACCACAGAACGGCCGGTCGTCAAGGGCCGTTGATGGCCGGCACTTTAAAAAAAAAAAGGTTTAACGTCATCATTTAAATTGCGCTGACGGCCGACAGAGGGCGACAGCGGCCGCTAATGCAGTTGTGTGGTTCTTATGTCAAATAATCACACACGAAGAAGAAAAAAGACCGGCCACACGAAGAGAAGGGATTAGACGCCGCGGCAGACAGGGAGAATGAAAAAACATGGTTAAAAATCAAAGAAAACGAAAAGAAAAAGGTGGGGCCGAGAAGGCAAGAGAAAAAAAGGTGTAGTCACTCGCAGCCAGGTGAAGCATATAAATGTCGCAAATTGACAGACCTTTTTGGCAGCAGCGCTGCTACAAGCACTATCATCAGCAGCTTAAAACAAGTGCAAGATGATGAAGAGAATGATGTGGGCGCGAGTTCAGATATACAGCCAGCCTCCTGCGTTCATGATGAGGGACAGAGAGTTGAGCTGCTGGAAGAACCAGCTCAACCGGCACACGTGCAGGGCAAGAGCAAGAGGTGGTTGAGAATTATCCCTTGAACTCAGTGGCGTTTTCTCCTGGAGGCCAAGAGAAGCCAGGCTTCCCCTGTTTTTTTGCATTGTAGTTATAATATTAATAAATAAATAAAAACACTTCGTTTAGTTTCGGTAATTATTCTGCCGGCCCGTCTCTCCCCCATTCTCATTGAGTATTTTACAAAGAGTGAAACAGCGCCCCTCTAGATGTTATGGTGAAACAGTAGACACTCTCTGTTGCGAGAGGAGGCCAGCCGAAATTGGCTTCCCTTGGTAAAAAAAAATTGAGGGATTGACCAGATGAGGCTCATGTCATGCCTCACAATCCAATCAAATCGCATCAACTTCAGTTCGTACTGTAACTGTCATCACTGCCCTTAAAAAGTAGCAAGCAAGTGCAATTATGGAGGGTGGAGATTTGGAGTATTTCATCAAAAATAATTGTACTAAACTTCCGCTACAGCAGCAACTACAAATGAAATCTGATGACAGGCCAATGATCAAACTGGAGCTGTGTACAGAGAAGAAAAAAGGAGTGAATCGGACGTAAACACAATGAAATATGTTTGGAGTTTTATTTAAGTTATTAATTTTTATTTTTTGTCTAAGAGATGCTGATTTGAAACCGTTGTTACAGTTACGGCATTTCCTGTTTCTGCAGGAGAGAGGGGAGGCCGTCCCAAAGCTTGCTGCTGTATTTACTCCCTCCATCTGACAGGAGGGAGCCTCGTTGAGCTGCGAGTGTGGCTACAGACGGAGTTCACTCCGTCACGGAGGGGTAGGGCCGAGGGAGTGGTTTGGGATTGGGCCTAAGTCACCCAGTTTTTCAAGAGAAAAGGTGGGTGTGGTCCATGAGTGGTGGAAATTAGTCTGTAATAATTGTAATAATAGTTTTGAGGTTTTTCATTTCACTCCTCTTTTAGCTGACATTTAATAAATGCAGGTACATTTTTAGCAGCTATTCATACTAAATCAGTTGTCCCCCCCTGGTGCCAGGACCAACAGATCCATCAGATCCATAGGCTCAGCAGCTCTGCTGTCCCCCCATAAGGCTTTGCAGTCTTGCCATGCTGTCCATTGAATGCCAGTTGGCTAGAAAGCTGGACTTCAAGGACTTGATCAGTGACTTTGCCTGTAAGAAGGCTAGGCGCTGGGCTCTTGGTGAGTAAGGCTGAGCAAGGGCTCTTAAAAACGGTTAAAGGGCAAGGCTATGGTAATGATATTGGATCAATACAAGATGCATGATGAGAAAAAGACTGAGAACAGGTAATAGGCTCTGATTTAGCGCCACCATCAAGCCTTTTCACTTCCATTTCCGTTTTGTTGTCCATTTACACTTTAATACCTGCTTATTTTGAAGTTGGTATGTATATTTAATTAAAAAATCTGCTGCTTATGTTATTTTCTTTGTTATAGCATTTTATAAATGATAATATTGGTGTTAATGTTCACTTTATTTTAATTTAAGAGGTCATGTATATTTAAGTTATATTTATTTTAGATTTTTCAATGTTCCATTCAAAAATGTTATTAAAAAGGCATGTCAGGAATGTTAGTGATATCAAATAGAGAATTCTACTGCAGCAGAATGTTGCACGTCTGCCCAGTGTTATATGTTCACCGGTCAGTGTCAGTAAATATTGTGCAGTTAGTATTGGACTACAAGATAGATGCAAGCCTGTACAGGTAGAGTTATTTAAAGCATAAATGAGTCGGTTGGGTTCTGGAGGTGTGGTTACAGTAATTGTGCTTGGTTGTCGTGGCCTGTGCCTGGTGGTGGGGCCCAATGTGATATCTTTTCATGGGGCCCAAAATCCCTGGCGCGCGCCCCTGGCTGCATGTGTCACATGTCGCTAAAATCAGTATCTTGCTTGAATTGTTCTTTAGTTAAAAGTAATTTTGAATCTAAAATGCTCACATTGTCTTATTGAAATAACTGTTTATTGACTACAGGGGTACGAATTTAACTTTTCCCCCTTAAAAAAGAAAAACAAACATTGGTGTGTCAAAACTATGTTTTTCCTTTCTCTGTTCTCTCCCCATATCACCTTGTAAACCCTAGATGTATTCAGTATTAAAAATGCTTTATGCATGTAATGTCAGTAACAGGCAGAGGTGAGAGAAGTACTCAGATCTTGTACTCGAGTAAAAAGTATAAAGTACTCATTATGCAGATTGCTCCATTACAGAATAATATATATTATATGTTTTGATTATTATTATTGATGCATTAAAGTGTTATCCAAGATGGTAAAGATGCAGCTAGATTTAATGAAGTCGTACACTGCCGGGTAGCTTGTGAACAGGTGTAACTAAAGTCTGATTTAAGTGTTGATTATATTTCACATCATTAATGCAAATCTGCAAAGTAACTCAAGGTATTACATGTAGTGGATTAAAAGTACACGATGTCCCTCTGAATTGTAGTGGAGTAGAAGTACAAAGTAGGCTAGCATAAAATGGAAATACTCAAATAAAGTACAAGTATCTCAAATGTGTACTTAAGTAGGCTACAGTACTTGAGTAGGCCTACATCTACTTAGTTACTTCCCACCATGGGACGAAAATATAAAAGCCCACTCACATACATTTCATGATTCAAGTTCTTTATAATCATGTACAGCACTTACAGAAAGGCTCACTCAAATAAAGCTCCTTAAATATGTATTACAATGATTTTTACATTACAGGGCTTTCGTTTGTAATGAAACATTGCGTATAAGCGACTCCATATATATTCCCAATACATACAGTCGGCGTCGCGTCACAGTTGGGGGCGGGGCATTTCGAGGGGGAAAAACAATAATTTCCCCCTCGCCCGGAGTACTGTAAGCGCGCGGATTTTAAATGTTAAACAAACATGTCATATATTGATTCATTGCAGCCCATTTCCAGGGATAGATACCTTAACATTTTGTATTTAATAGGATCGGATTCTTGTCCATATCTTATTAAAGAGTGGACGAATGATCCGACTGAATGGCCTGAAGTTTCATTCCCGCATATCTTCTGCTACCTGGTTGAATCACCCGGTAAGAGGCAAAATCACGTTAACTGATGAATTAAACCTCACATAATTTATGTCTAACAAGGAAATTAGCACGTTTTAGTGAATTTGTTCATCACACAATGGTTGTTATTGCACAATAGCCATCATGAGCTGCATATACATATTGGTTATTGACGACTCGGTACGTTATCACGTAGGGATTTACACACACACGCCAAAAGAACTATCGGTCCCTGGAGGCACACAACTTTTTTATAAGTGGCTTTGTTGGAGTTGTGCTCCATCATAAACTACCTTCATCGGATACCTACCTGTTCCGATGTGATGTAAAGCCATCCTGGAGGGTGACAGAGAAGCCGCAAAGGCTGGCTTCCGCATCTGCCAAACTATGCCATACCTGGGGGTTTCATGTGATGGCTATGTTTCCTGTGACTGCTGTGGTGAGGGTGTTATAGAGGCTAAGTGTCCTTACAGGTGGGGGCAAGACACCTCTACTGGGTATCAACAGTGGCTTGAGGACAAAAGAGGACATCTGGAATGTCTGACAAGCTTAAAGAGAAGTCATGCATATTTCACTCAGGTATTTCAATATTTCACCTGCATACTGTATACCTGCACACCTCTAATAAGTCTGGAGCATTTTGTGCAATTATCCAAGATAATTATCCACAGATGGCATACTGTCTATAATGTACATATTAGTGTTATGATTGCATTGCATTTGACAGGTCCAAATGCAGATGTTTGTTACCAAACGGATGTATGCAGACTTCATCACTTGGACTCCTCAGACCTGCCTGATATTCAGAGTACAAAGAGATGAGGACTTCATCAGTGGTGCCAATGTGATGCAAACATTTTGGTCACAACACATACTACACAAACTTCGGGAGCTGAAAGATGCACAGGTAGGTGGTTGAATTTCCTATCAGTGTAAAAATGGCAACAAATAAGTCACTGTGACAGAGTTACATATTTATACCAATTCATTTTGAAGCATATTATAGCTATTTCAATCAGTATCAACATAGACTACTAGACTATATGTACAAAATCAAATATCACAAAGCCTATACATTTATTTACAACATGAAAACATACATAGGCTACAAATAGAATGAATCAAATGGGCTGTACAATATTGTCTATACTTGTGACTTTGATACTAATCAGATAATAATTGTTGATATTGTTGATCAAATTGTTCTTGTGTTCTTTTCAAAGGGGGTGAACTCATTTATGATAAGCACTGTATATGTTTCTGCTAAGTAGGCAGAACACAGTCCAGTCGAAAGCAGCACAGGGAGTGACCCATCAGGCATCAGAGGCAGAGCGTCAGGCATCAGAGGCAGAGCGTCAGGCATCAGTGGCAAAGCGTCAGGCATCAGTGGCAGGGCGTCAGGCATCAGAGGCAGGGTGACAGGCATCAGAGGCAGGGTGACAGGCATCAGAGGCAGAGCGTCAGGCATCAGAGGCAGAGCGTCAGGCATCAGAGGCAGAGCGTCAGGCATCAGAGGCAGGGCGTCAGGCATCAGAGGCAGGGTGACAGGCATCAGAGGCAGGGTGTCAGGCATCAGAGGCAGGGTGACAGGCATCAGAGGCAGAGCGTCAGGCATCAGAGGCAGGGTGACAGGCATCAGAGGCAGAGCGTCAGGCATCAGAGGCAGGGTGACAGGCATCAGAGGCAGGGCGACAGGCATCAGAGGCAGGGTGACAGGCATCAGAGGCAGGGGTGACAGGCATCAGAGGCAGGGTGACAGGCATCAGAGGCAGGGTGACAGGCATCAGTGGCAGGGTGACAGGCATCAGAGGCAGGGTGACAGGCATCAGTGGCAGGGTGACAGGCATCAGAGGCAGGGTGACAGGCATCAGAGACAGGGTGACAGGCATCAGAGGCAGGGTGACAGGCATCAGAGGCAGGGTGACAGGCATCAGAGGCAGGGTTACAGGGTGTGCAGCAGCAGAGCAGCACTGAGATCAGTTCAGGGACCTGTGGAAAGACAAACAACAGGTGGTTTTGATTAGAAAGATCCATTATGTCTCAACTGAAACCTGTTAAATGGCACAATTGGAACAATAATGACTTCTTTGTTGTATAAAAAAGTTTCATACAATATTGTTCTCTGATGCTCATTATTAAATGACTGCACATTGATTTTGTTCTTACTCTCAGATTCTGTAACGGTTGTACATGACACTGCCAGACAAGTTCATTAGTGCGGCACAGACATGCACAATCCTATCCATCATGGCCTCTTCTGTCTCTCACCCTGCAGTCTCTTCACCAGGCGCAGAGGAAGTGGGCCATCCAGAATGTGGTACCGGCTCTTCAGGGCACCAATGACTCTCTGCAGACCACAGATCACATATTTGTTGTTAAAATGCTGTTTATATACATTGTTATGTTTGAGTTTCACAGGAGTAGCACAGTTGACCGTTATATCATATCGTCAGTGCATTGTGTCCTATAATTTGTGTTTCTTTTTCATGTTAAAGTGAAGAAAGATCCCTGTTAACTTCCTGTTCTCTTGATATTGCACTAAATGTGAACAACAGTTCAATGTATTTAAATATAGAATAACATGTTTCTAAGATAACATGTTATCTTAAGACACCCTACAAAGTAGGGATTACACATGTACTCGTTGATGTGATTAATTGAATAACGTCTCAGCACTTGTTAACCCGGATCTGTTACAGTAATTAATTTAGTTAGGGAAATGTGAACCACGTCAGCGGCAAGTAGCAACAGTGATTTGATGATGCAGCACACTCTGAATACCAAAAACATTCAAATGTACATACTGTATGAATCTGACTGCTGACTCTATACTTACCAATGTGAATTCTGATGTTCGAAGTCACACGAGAATTTGCAACATCTTCGGCTGACAGTTGTTTTCGGCCCCTCGTGAAAGACGGTGTGATGAGCTGTGCACCCAGAACAGCAAAGTCATCCTTCAAAGTGAAGCCCCTGTCGGCTAAAATCTGAAATAAACATAACAAATACTTAAAAACACTACTTTACTTCCACAGCAACTCAACAATGGTAACTATGGGTAAATAATAAATTCACAAATAAGACTTAAATTAGAAAAAAAAAAACAGTTCAATTGTTACCTGATCTCCTGCATGGTGGAACTTCTGAGATAAGAAGTCTGAGTTCCTTACAATATGCACATCTGAAGCCCTCCCTCCCCAGCCTTTGGAGAGATATGTGATTGAGCCAGATGGGTGACATGCAATGAAATACTTCACTGTTGTCCAGTTTTTGTATTTTGAGTAGGTGATAGCTCTGTGAGAAGAGACAGTTGTTAGTAATACTTATCTATAAATTATGTACATATACACAGACAGCCAGGTAAGTATTACAAAAACCCGACACTTTATGCATGCTATCAAAAAGAAAAATATCTCACCTTGTTTTCAGCTTCTTTGAGTGTTCAATTCTGATCTCAAAGCAGTCGATAATTGCAGTCACTCTAGGGTACTGGAAGAGAACCTCTGCTGGTACTGTGCTTCTGATACACTCTCTATCAGGCCATTTAATCAAAAAAGAAATGTTGGCGTACATCAAATCCAACCATCGGGAGAATACATCCAGGAAAGTGCTATATCTATGTGCCAGGTCAAATATTCCACACATCATATCGGTTGAGGGGTTCTGCCGCAGTTTCACCAGAGTAATAAAGAGCTGGTCTTGTGTTGACATCTTGGATGTTTTCTGTGACTTAACAAACTGTACCAGGTACTGATGAAGAGTGTCAAATACTGTCCATGACAGGCCTGTCATGACTTTACATTTAGTGTCATTTTCTCTCACAGTGTTTACCGACATTTTCAACGTCTCCAATTCTCTGATGGCTTCAGCTCGCTCCTTCATGGCCTCATCTCTTTCTCTTCTTAAATTATACAATTCTTCATAAAGTTGTTTTCTCTCTAACTCCTGAAGAGGTATGGGAGCTTCTGATGTTGGGGATTCTGGTTGGGCAGACTGAACACCCTCACGCTTCCTCCTTCTCTCCAGCCTCTGAAGTACTGACCTGGGAGACTTTGTCTTTTTATGTGGGAACAGCGAGGTTGTGTAGTCTGGGTGGGCTATGTCCTCGTTTTTTAAGCCTAGGGCAAGACAGTTCACAAACGAAATGAGAAGGGGATAGAAGGGGGTGAAATACATTTGAACTGCAGAAAGCTCGGAAGCTACCACCAGTGTTGTTAGCATAGCTGTGTTTTTGTATACTCAAGCAAGGTAGCCTGCATAACGTAGTAGTTAGTTAACTTCTCTTAAAACTAGTAATTGAACATTCATGTTAACTACGAAACAATTTAACACTGTTATTGTGTGAATAACGTTGTCATACCTGTAATGAAGTGCTGACTACAGACGTACACATGTTTGGATTTTGGATCCCACAGGTGGCCTAACTCATCCTCCCGACGGATCGCTTGAAGCCACCGGGTTCTTCTCCTGGGCTCTGTGCTCCCGTTGGGCAAAATATAAAATTTTAGATTTGGATTTTTAAGCTTGTTAGTTGTACAAAAGGGCACACTGCAGCTCCTGGGCATTGTGGAAGCCGGTTTGTTTTCCCCCTCAGCGCGAACCGGATGTGACGTTTTGTGGGCGTTCCCTCGCTTGCCGACTGTATCTCATAGGGACCGAACACAAAGAGAGATAGGTGACAGGGGGTTGGCCGATTTTCGACCAATCAGCGACCACGGAGAGATTTAAAGCTCCGTTACCTGCAGCCTGCACCACATCTTGTTGTTCTCAGCCCAGGCGTGCCAGACACTGCAAAACCGGTCTTTGTCATCGCTTGTGATAACGGAACAACCGTACAGCATTTAGTGTCGGTGTGAGTGTCTCGTACACTGCGGCAGGACTTCAGCCATGATGCACCCCCGGACTTTCAGAGTAGATTATGACCACGTTACAAGCGTCGTATGCGTGGTGGGCGCGGGACTTAACGTGAACCTGAACAGGTAGGCTATTTCAACCCATTGTCTTCTACAGAGCCCACTTAACACATAGATACAACTGGGCTGTGTGTGGCAAATTGTTGATTTGGGGGAATTATATGTATTCCTTTATTAAAGTATTGTATTCTATTGTGAAAAAATAGTAACGTCTTCCTCTGGCAATATTGTTTTGTAAGATACTGTATTGTATTACCTTGGTTACAGTAGATATTACATTAGCGACCTATGTTTCAATCCTTATTTTCTTTTAAATAAGTGGTCAACATGATACCACTCCACAATTTAGCATTCAGAGCTATTTTTTTAATGTAATTTATTGATTTACTTTAAAAAAGATTCCCATTTTCCTAAAATAAAAACAGTAGCCAGTTTATCAGGTGCTTTCTAAAACTATAGTATTACATCAGTTATATAATAATATTATGTTTATAATAGGTTGAAGTAGCCTACAGTTAGAGACATGGAATTCATTGAATGGTAATTTTGGCAGCTACAGTTTCGTTGGATTACTCCACCCTATTTATATCAATAAGGGTGTACTAAACAATGACAATTAGTCATTGTAATGCAACTACATCCTGAAACCGGTCATAGAGTTGAGTCAACCCATCTTTAAAACACTTTCATTAAAACTGAACATTATAACATTTATGAAGGTAGAATTGATGGAAGGATTGTTTGTGTAGAACACATTAAACGTCATGTATACCAAATAAAAGGACAACAGAGGGTAGCACAATGCCATTGTTTGCCCACATTAAACAGAGCTGAGGAGAATGTCATTTCAATGCAGATCCTGGTGATGGCAGACCACAACGATTTGTTTTGTACAGTATAAGGCAGTCAACAGTCCTCTTTTGTTGCTATCCAACAGGAGAGACTTTGTTGTACCAAAGAAATGTAAGTAAGACGTTCTCCCAAATGCCAGCCTCCACAGCACAACAGAGCGAGGCTTGATCCCAGACTGGGTAGAGTGGGAAGAACGGCACACAGATCCCCTCTGGGATTTTTCCAAAAATAAAAGTCTGAAATCATTCGAGACTGAAAGGGCATCTATTTTAAAGGTGTTGTCAAGTATAGAAGTCCTATTCTTAAATCTTAAAGAATAGAAATTCTCAGTAATTAGAGAGTTATTGGTGGCTGTAATCATTCCTCCTCTCTAAACTGGCTGTGAACAGACCCTGTCCTAACGTGATAGGAATGTAAGTCAAATGGTACAACATGCACAGCCCAAAGCCCAAGCCATGTGTTTATCAGATTACAACATTTATAACGTTGTTAAACCAAGTGGATAACTTGTTACGGCCCGTCCACACTACAGCTTCGACAGCTTCAAAAACGGTTTCCAACGCGTCTGCCCATTCACTTTGAATGGGGTGACGTCACTTTTCGCCGAACTGCATTGTGGGAAGCAGAGCGGAGTTTTCCTGGCGTTTCAGGCTGCAAAAGTTGAGCAATGTTCAACTTTTGAAGCTTCTGAAGCTTTCGGTGGAAGCGTCAGCCAATCAAATCATATGCCAGTACAACTCTAGCCAATCAAACCGCTGCTTGTGTGTCAGGGGCGGGAGATTCATGTGATTGGTTGTTGGTCGAGCTTCAGACACGCCCAGCTCCAAGCTTTTTTTGAAGCTGTAGTGTGGACGGGCCGTTAGTCTTTTTTGTGCAGAAAAAAAAATGTTTTTGTTATTCTGTGGACACTATTTTCATGTGATGTTACAGGATACTCACTTTTTTGACAATCTCATGAGTTGGAATCACATTAGAAGTAGGTCTCTTCACTGCCAGTGTGGACAGAGGGAATAATTGCACAAAATACTTTCAGTGTACACATGTCTATGACGTGGACCTATCATTCATTTGATGACTAGTTGTGAATGTATGTGGCCTATTTTGAAACAATTATGTGGTAATGGTGCTACCGCAAAACAGCTGACACATGGAAAACCAGGGAAATGGTGGTATGGCATATTGTGGGACTATTAGATGTCTACGCCGTAGGCGCTGAATTTATACCCACCTGTTGCGAAATTGGAACTGTGGCTGCAGGCGTACTGCTCTTCACATATTTTCCCTGTAACCCCCACACAATCTCTTTGTTTAATAAGCCACAGCAGGTCTTTCTTGTGTATTTATTTATACATCATGTGCTAAAACCTGCTGTTTGTCTTGTTCTCAGGAGTGCACCTCCAGGCTCTGAGTTCATCTCTATGAAGAGCACTGCCACTGTTCAGTACAGCATCAGCCCCCGACCTCGGGAGACCTCCCACCTGTCTCCCATCCCTCTTAAGGGAAACTCAGCCCTTCTCATCCGCATGAGCCATGCCAGTGATTATGAAAATGATGGCAAGGTGAAGTAGTTGTGCTTGAAACTGATATCCCAAAGCAGCAAGTCACATTTCTTAATTTCAGTATGTGCTGATGTAATGACAGTTTCAGGAAATGGGAGGTTTATTATTTAGAAAAAACTATTATTCAAGTTCATGTTAAAGCAGTCATGATTAGGCAATTTTTCAGAAACAGTTTGTTCATCGTTTTGTATTTTAGGAATCGTTTCATTTCAGAAAATTGCCTTTTGTCATTGGATGAACTTTCTGATTAAGAGTAGAGTTTAACGAGAAATCAAACTCACCCTCCTTTTAAGCATTTGTAGCTTTTGCTTCTTTTGATTTATGATTAACCACGTTTCAAATAACCAGAGGAGATATTTCACATTGATCATGAGCTTTTTGCACAATGTACAGTGAAACTCCAAAAAATCATGTGTCTTTTAGATTTGGAATCGTCAAATGTCATGATGTGCAATTAAATGCCTTTTGCCGTTGTATTTTAAGTTGTCTATCCGATACTATGGGGAGAAGAAAGATGTCTTGGGGAGTGTCCTCCTGCACCTGACAGCGGTTGGTAAGCAAAATAAGCAAATTGAAAAAAACATATTTATACTACTTATTATTTGTTTGACTTGAAAGAAATGTGTATAAACAGTCTACCAGTACAACATTAGCAATACTCTATCAACCATTATCTGGAAAATGTGTGCCATGCAGAGGAACTGTGATAAACAAACTGTGTGTGTTTGCGTGCACAGAGATCTCTCTGGATGTGGATGCAGACAGAGACGGTGTTGTGGAGAAAAACAACGCTAATAAGGTGAGCTCAAAGGTGTCAGATAACTTTACAGACACCTAATGAAGGAGATATTTGATCTACGTTTTACTTTCTCATGAACAATAACATGCCAAGTGTGACAAACTGAATTCTGTTTATGTAGATAACTCAAAGTTGTATATTAATCATTTAAAGGGTTTCTGACTACTGTGTATTTGATTTTTACTCTCCAACAGAGGGGAGATCTTTCTATGATTGTGCTATTTAAACATAATTTTGTTTCTTATTCTTGTGTCTTTTTATAAGTTCGATATATATGCAATACAATATTTGCCGTCAATCTGTGGTGCAAAACATTTGTACCTTTTAGATTTCCATTAAATTACTTTTAGATTTCCATTAAATTACATTCAATCATCGATTTTTGAAAACTTGTTAGGGATCATGGAAATGGGGTTCAAATGGTCACGGAGCCATCCTATTGGTCAACTGTGACTCAGAGCGGATGTTCTTGAAGAAACTAGATAGCGAGCAGGACCAGGTCTCCAAAGTGTCAGGTAAAAAACAGCTTCTCTTTGTTCACTCTGCACATTTTTCATTACTGTTGCCAGAATTACAAGGTCACTCATTTTAGCTTTTGCACAGTTGGCAGATTAAAGTGTTGAAAGGGCAAACCTGTGTGATGAAACTACAAATCTAAAGACCTCTGCGTGAGTGTAGAGGGCAGTTTGATAAAGCAGACCTCTCAAATGACTTTGCTGCGGATAAACCAGTAGAGCTGAAATCTGATAGTACAAGCAGGTGTTGTTCATTATGTGTGAGTGCCCCGTATTTATCACAGATATGACCAAACATTCACTGTACTATCTACTTTTAGTGTTAAAAGCATAACAAAGTCACTCAAGCACATTCGTGTCATGTATCTGTTACATGTTGAGTAAAATCTAAAGTATATAGGATTGAATTACATTTGCAGGACACTAACATGATGTTTTGTGGGTGTGCAGATCTGAAGGACATGTCCGTCATGGTGCTGCGGACCAAAGGCCCGGCCAAACTCCCAAAGGGCTACAAGCTCACCATGCACATCTCTCAGGGCGACGCAGAGAGCGTCAGAGTCTTCAGGGCCAGATCCTCTGGAGTGGAGAGCAACTTACTGCGTTAGTAAAGAGTGTGGGTGAAAAACCCAGAACAGACAATGTTGTGTGCATGCAATTCAGAATATCTTTGTGTTAATGTATGAGTGTATGATCACAACAGTAAATCAGACATTTTTGAATTTTTTTTTTATAAAGTCTCATTGACTGCTGACTCCTCATTTGTCTTTAACTTGCTTAAATAGAAAACATTTATGTTTGCCAATTAGCTGAACAATAAACAAGTGTGGCATAATCTGCTGCAGGCCACACTTTGCCCTTGATCAGGGCTCAAAACGGTTATGATCCACTAATGTTAAATATGATACGAGTTAAACAAATCCCTGTTTTTGTTAGCTATGCTGCCATATTGACTATAAGGTAGCTGAAAGTGAAACTGTAGTGAGATTCAACCATTCTTTGTTTGGTAGGGGAGAGGGAGCACTTCATTGAAGCACATGCAATGAAGCACCTTATAATTCAAGCATTGTTTGTGTTGTTCTTGCTCCCCAGAGAAACTCTTCAGCCATTTTGTTAAGGAATATCCTCTGGTGCTGAGCAATGAGGTCCTGTCCCAGGAGGTGCCTTACCTCGGAGGCATCTCGGAGATGAAGTTTTACGTGGAGGGCCTCAGGTTTCCTGACAAAGACTTCGATGGGCTCATCAGCATCAACCTCAGTCTGCTAGAGCCCATCGCTGATGTAAGACCTGCAACATGACATTTATAATGTAACGCCAACTAATCCTTTTATGTACTTTATATACCTGTTTAAAATGAAATCGTAAAAAAAGCCCAGAACAAAGTTTAAAATCATATGAACTCATGGTCCACCTAGTTGTTTTTTCATAGCTTATAAGTTAACCACAACTCAGTCTCTTTCTGTTGATCTGGCTGAAAGCAAGTTAGTGGATGGATCTTCAGATAAACAAGTGTTTGTGTGAAACCACTATTTCCAAAATCAAGCACAAACTTTCAAACAACATAATTAAACTTTGAACACAACCATTTCTTATAACCTAATACAGCAAAGGTTATATATCCATTTTGAGTATGTTTTTGTTGGCTTAGAAAGATTTTTAGTTAACATACTTGTACTCAGCTGCCTCTCTCGTGCTCTGACAGGGTCTCCCTGAGACGCCGATTTTCACAGACACAGCCGTGTTCAGAGTGGCACCTTGGATCATGACACCCAACACCCTGCAGCCTGTGGAGGTGTTTGTCTGCAGGTAAGAGCAGACTGATGAATAATAGAGATGATTGTGACAAAATAAATGTCAACACTATCTTCACTAGGGCTATCTCTTAATCCCCCTCATTGTTACTCATACTACCAAATTCACACTTAGTCTGCATGGTTTCACTTCCCATTCTTGAGTATTCAGTTTTACCCATAATCACTCAGATAACGTGTTGGGTATTAAATATACAAAAAGCCAGAACATTTTCGATTTCGACACATTATTGCTTAAGGAACTTACTTCTTCTGTGGTTACCTTTTCAGCACATCTGATAACTACCAGTTCCTTAAAGGAATGAGGAACCTTATCACAAAGAGCGGTTACAAGCTTAAGATCTGCCATGAGTATATGAACAGAGGAGATCGCTGGATGCAGGTAAGAAAGTCGAATGTGTTATATGAAAAAATACATATTAGAAATGATCATCAACTGACTAAATGTACCTCTACAATAAATGGAAAGCTATACAAAATTATTATCTAAAACACTGCAATAACAGCGATAATAACGGATTTCATGTAAACCATATCGGGGAAAAAGGGAACCATTCATTAAAAACCTCAAAGTAACATGAAACAATCCAAAAAGAAAACAAATTTGGTAACACTTTATATTAAGGTACACAAATTCACCCTCAACTAGTTTTAATTAACATGCATATTAGCAGTATATTGGCTATTTATTAGTCATTATAAAACACTTATTAATGCCTTATTCTACATAATTATTATTTGAATTAACATTACCAGAATTAATATTCTACAAGTAATATGCCATTAGTTGAGAGTTTTTCCTCAATAACCCTCTAATTAGTGCTTATTTATTGCAAGTAAGGAAGTTGTTGTACATGGGTTTTGGTCTTAATATGCTCTGCTCAATAAATAAATAAATAAATACATTTAATTGATATAGCGCTTCTCATCTGCCAAGACAAATCTCGAAGTGCTTCACAACAAGGGATATTGATACACTTTGAGAGATTAAACAAATAATTGTAATAATAATAAGAAATCAAAAAAATTAAAAATAAAATAGAGTACAAAAGTAAAAGTCGGAGATAGCGATAAAAATGGCAATACTCCAGGTGTACCATGCTCAAAGTTTATTGGAAGGCCTGCCGAAAGAAGAGGGTCTTAAGGCCGGTTTTGAAGACCTCGCTGGAAGGGGCAGATCTCAGCTGATCTGGGAGGGAGTTCCAGAGGCGCGGGGCGAATGAGCAGAAGGCTCGGTCTCCTATTGTTCGGAGACGTGTGCGGGGGATGTGAAGAAGAGGAGCGTGGCTGGAGCGGAGAGAGCGGGTAGATGTCTGGGTATGGATGAGGTCACAGAGGTATTTTGGGCTTTGTCCATTCCGGGCTTTGTACGTGAGGAGCAGAACCTTAAACTGGATCCTGTAGTGGACTGGGAGCCAGTGTAGTTTTGCAAGTATGGGGGTTATGTGTGCGGACCTTTTTGTACCGGTGAGAACTCTGGCTGTGCTGTTCTGGACAAGTTGCAAGCGGTTGATGGATTTGGCTGGGAGACCGGAGAGGAGTGCATTGCAATAGTCTAGTCTTGAGAAGACGAGTGCATGAACCAGTTTTTTGATGTCATCAGTTGAGAGTGAGGGCTTCAGTCGGGAAATGTTTTTCAGGTGAAAGAAGGAGGTCTTGGTGATGTGTTTGATGTGGGCTTGGAAAGACAGAGTGGGGTCAAACCTTACACCGAGGTTGGTGACAACGGAGGAGAGAGGAATGAGCTGACCATCAAGGGAGGGGCTGATGTTGGCGACCTTGGCAAGCTGGTCAGTGGTGCCTATCAGGATTGCCTCCGTCTTGCTGCTGTTGAGCTGAAGGTAGTTGGTGGTCATCCAGGAGCGGATGTCTTCCAGGCAGGTGTTTAGTGTTTGGATAGTGGTGGTATTGGGTTGTGTTTTGATGTAGACCTGAGTGTCGTCGGCATAGCAGTGGAAGTTGATGTTATGTTGTCTGATGATATGACCCAGAGGTAATAGATAGATTAAAAACAGGATCGGCCCCAGCACTGAGCCCTGTGGGACCCCGCATGTCACTGCGGTGTCGTCAGACCTGGAACCCCCTAGAGACACGTGGTACTTCCGGTTGGTGAGGTAGCTTGAGAACCACTTCAGAGCCGTGTCCGTCACCCTGGTGTAGGTCTCGAGGCGGTGGAGGAGGATGGTATGGTCCACTGTGTCGAAAGCCGCACTCAGGTCAAGAAGGACCAGGATGCTGGGTGACCCAGAGTCGGCTGCCATCAGTAGGTCGTTGGCTACTTTTATTAGGGCTGTTTCTGTACTGTGTGCAGGGCGGAAACCTGATTGGAAGGTCTCATACATGTCATTGTCAGACAGATGAGACTGGAGCTGTGCGGCCACGACCTTCTCAAGCACTTTGGCAAGGAACGGGAGGTTGGAGATAGGTCTGTAGTTGGAGAGGAGTTCTCGGTCGATATTTGTTTTTTTTAAAAGTGGGGTGACAACTGCTGTTTTGAAATGGACAGGCACCTCACCAGTCTGTAGTGACTTGTTGATGAGTGTTGTCAGGAAATTAACCAGGGTTGGCGAACAGGCTTTTAGCAGCGGGGTGGGTATGGAGTCGAGGGAGCAGCTGGTAGGCTTTGATTTGCCGATGGCTAGCAGTGCAGATGACGTCACCTCGTTGAAGCTGCAGAGGGTGATTCCGTTGATGAAGGGAGAGCAGTAGTACCACAAGAATAGAAGAAGAATAGTAATTCTCCCATAATAACACTTAAAGGTGGGGTAGGTAATTTTGGAGAAACCAGCTTGAGTGCGCTAGAATTTGAAAATACACAGCCGGAAGAAATCTGCTACTTCCTTACAGAGCCCCTCCTCCAACACACACGAACACGCACATGACCAATGAGGGCACGAGATAAGTTTGTGCACAGATGGAAGCCTGACAGGCAGGTAGGCCATCCAGTTATTTTAGCCGGCCCGGCTAAAATGATTGGTCGTGATTGGTCGTGCTTCCACAGATGACATTTTTAATGGATTTTTTGTCAAAGCACTTAAAATATTCATTGTTATCGGGATGTTAAGAGCATTCCATGGAATATAACAAAAAGTGTATCTCGAGCCGGTTTCTCAACCTTACCTACCCCACCTTTAACAAATATGATCTATTCTTATGTAACAAGACATGAAACTATAAGTGTTAATTAAGTCTAAATAACTCAAAGTCAGGTTTTTCTATCTAAGAATATGTTCCCTATTTTAAAGTTAAGTCTGGTTGATAACCAATAAGCTAGTAATTTTACTCTAATGGCGCATTTCCACTACAGCACGGAGCTCGCTTTATGCGTGCCGAGCCGTGCAGGGCCCGTTTTTGGTTGCGTTTCCACTTAGCATAGTACCGGCTAGCGGGTGCTATTTCACAGTTTTTCTGGCCCCATAAAATCGAGGTTCTTTCCGGGCCAACAACCAGGCTGAGTCGGGATGAGTATGCTAAACTAGAGAGAGAATCGCTGGCAAGGGGGCTACAACTACAACAAGATGAACAGATTTGACCGTGATTTAATTGTAATACACGTTTCAAAATTATGCCGAAGTAACAACATACTGATACCGGTTAGTAAAAACCATGAATTAATGCTTTGACAAGTCTGCGGACAGACGGCAAGCAAAAAACCTTTTAAAATGCGTGTTTTCTAAATGGAGATCGGCTGTTGTGCACCGCCAAAAGAGTTAGTCAGTCATGTTTCATGTTGTTATTCTTGTATTGTCTTTCACTTCCTGTTTTGTCTTGTCACTCATTTGTCACGTCTCATTTCAGGTTCCTTGACTCCCTTTCCTAATGTGTTCTCCCGCGCTCATCAGCGCCAGCCCCGCCCCTGATTGTTTTCACCTGTTCCCAGTTATCTCCTGTTTATATTCCCCTGTTTCCCTCTGTTTGTTGTCAGTTCGTCTTGTCCTGTCCTCATGCCAGAACTCTGCTCATCCACGATTGCTAATCTTGTCAATAGCTTATAATTACGCTCCTGAAACTCTGTCGTAAGTTTCTGTCCTCACGTTGTGAGCGATTTATGTTAAGCCTTTTTTGTCACCTGTTAAGCACTGAGCCTGTTTTTCAGGTTTCAGGCTCGAAAATGACATTCCCAGAACAAATGACCATATCTTCCCTTCTAAAAGGCTTAAATTAATAATCTTGTTTCTCAAAGTAATGATAAACCTGTTTGTTGGATGTAGAAAAGTCAGAATCAATATAGATGTTTTTTATTTTAAAGAAAATTCAGATTGAACATAGTAAAAAACTGTAAATTATAGTGTCCGTCCAAAATTCTTTTTTTACTTATAGTGAAAACTACCCTTGGATGATGGTAAGGTAGAATAAAAGCTTTAGGAATCCAAAGTACAACATATAATAAGTACCCTGTATCAAGATTGATGCAAAACAAGTGACATTTGACCTTTTTAGAGAGGTTTATAAAAAAAAAAACTCCACCTCTGAGGTGATTTGGGTGGAAATGGGGGTTTTACCGTTTCTCTGGGACCCATTGGTCGATTTTGGTGATTGACATCTCTTTTTGACCGTTAGAGCCAATAGAATCAAAGGGGAATTTCCACATACACACCAACGTTACCATTGAGAAATGAGAGCAATGCGAATGCAGTTTTGCATGAGAGCGAACCTATCTCTCGCTCTGACATCTGGAAACGGAAAAGCAGGTTTATTGCTTAGGGATTATCAGAAATCATTTCAAAGGGACACAGACACATTGGATTAACCTATGGATTAACCTTCAGCAGCGTTTTTATAATTGTAATGCCATTGAAGACCACTTTTGACCAGACAACGACCAAGGTAAGCCATTTTGCCGTTTCTAGCTACCTAGCGCCACATGTTTTGATGTCTGTTTGCGAGTTCTTATCATAGAATGATGATGTTGTATGTACCTATTGTTACCTATATGTTGGATGTGCAGTTAAGATAAGTAATAAGGGTGTTATGTGTGAGTTTATGTGCAGTAATGTGTTAGCATTTTCCCGCTGGTGGCTAATTCTGAGGCTGAGCGTTAGCAATTTGGGTTTAAAAAAAAAAAAAAAGATCAGTTAGCTGAGTTTCTTCCCGTTACATGGATATAAAACATTCATAGTTTATTAAATGTTAAGATGCCCTAAGACGCTGTTTCCTGCAGATGACGCGTTTTTCTCCCCGGTACCGGGGGGGGCGGTGTAGAACAGAGTGTTGTTTTCTTTTTGTACTTCTTTTTTTGGCAAATAAAGTATATTAATTATACTTTACCTCTGGCTCCCGGGTCGTGCACTTATTCCCTTGTGTAACCAAGTTCTTAACAGAACGAACTGACCACAATGGACTCAGCCGACCCAAAAACTCTTCACGCCGCCCTGTCAGCCC